TGTGTCTGGCTTCCAGCCTCCACTGGTTGGACCTCCCTGCTCTGTCTCCAGATCACTCCCTGGCAGCCTCACCCTGGCTAGGCTCCTCTTTTTTTTTGGAGAGGTTTTCGCTATAGGGCGCGTGCGCTCGCCAGACAGACAGAGAGAGACATAGAGACAGAAAACGAGAAATCACCCCCCAGGGAGGATGGTCACGCCGCAATCCCTTCTCCTCCATTCTCCTCTCCGGATCTTGGGCACACACGCACATGTGCCCGGCGTGAGTTTTAAGGCACCGGGTCTGGGACGCGAACTGTGGTCGACTATGTGGGAGTCCAGCGACATAGCCATTATGCTAACTGCTGGTTCCCACCCTGGCTAGGTTCCTCTTGAGCAGCAGCTGTTAAGTGTCTCGACTGCTGTAACCTGTAGGGGCATCCTTTTGGGCAGACACAGGGCAGATTCGTCCCTGCCTGCCCCACATCCTGGCCCAGGGCTGAGGGCTGATGTTGAGGCAGAAGTCTGGTAAGATACAAGATGCCCCAGCTCATGGTCTTGCAATGATCAAATGTCTCCACCATCCTCCCTTCTGCTGTTCTCTCCTTTCCTGATGATTTGAGATGAAATTTAAAATAAAAATATTGACTAAAATCTGGACACTATATAAGTAAATGCAAAAGCATTTGATACCAACAAGAATCCTTTGAGCTTTAACATAGAGACAGCAGGGCTAGAAGAGGTTGGGTGGTTAAGGCGCTGGACTCCCACACGGCTGACCATTCAAGTCTCGGGCCCTGCGGCTTGAGAATCATGCTAGGCACAAGTGCGTGCATGGCCAAAATCCTGAGAGGAGAATGGAGGAGAAGGGATTGTGGTGTGACCATCCCCCGGGAGATGGTCTCTCACTTTTCATCTCTCTATCTCTCTGGTGAGCACACATGCCCTATGGCAAAAACCTAAGAAAATAAAAGTGGTATGTGAAGACGGCATGGACAGTTCCAAACTAGCATGGCATTCGAGCTGACCAGCACCCTGACTCTGTCTCCCTCTCTTGGGGACCATGGCTGGATGTTTTCCTTGTTGGAACCCTGACCAGGCAGGCTGTGAAGTGGAGCACAAGTAACTTGGCTTTGATAATGTAGGCTTCGGTAAGCCTTGGCTGGCTCACCCACTTACTGGCTGTGTGGCCATTCTGAACCTCGGTTTTGGTACCTGTTCATTGGGGGGGAAGGCCCTGCTTCATTGGGTGGTTGCGAGGCTGAGAATATGGTGCGAAGGGCTGAAGGCATTGCCTTGCATCCATCATCCTACCTTGAGAATTCACCCAGAAGGGACCAGCAGGTGGCGTGGTGGTTAAAGCATTGGACACTTCCACATGGCCAACCACGGTTTGAGTCCCACACCTGGTGGCTTGCTTTCTCACTTTCCCTCTCTCTCTCTCTCTCTCTGGCCAAATTAAAATAAATGAATGAATAAAAAAATAAATTAATTTAAAAAAAGAGAGAATTCACTCAGAGGCCAAGCACTTCCTTCCACCTTTACTGCCATGGCTGTGGCCCGCGCTGCAGCCACGGGGGCCCTGTTGACATTGAAGTCCTGTCACATCACTGTCTGCTGGAAACCTGCAATGGCTCCCATTGCGTCTGGAGTACACGTCGAGGTCATCCTAGTGGCCTCAAGGCCCCACGTCACCCCCGCTGTCACTGTGGCTGCCGCTCCCCCCCATCCCACTTGTCTCCAACCACACCACTCTCCCAGTTGTTGCCAGATGCCTCAGGGCCATTCCTGCCTCAGGGCCTTTGCACGTGCTGCCCTTTGCTAGAATGTTCTTCCCCAGAGTCTCCTGGCTCCCTCTATCACCCTGTCAGCTCTTTACTCAAGTGTCACCTTCCCCACAAAGAACACCCTGCTTCTTCTGATGTATGTGTATCTGGGGCACTCATTGCCAGCTATAACAGTACACCAAACCTTTTGCTCATTTATCTACTTATTTGAAAGAGTTATTTTATTTACCTTTATTTATTTATTTTTAATTTACCCAGAGAGGGAGAGAGAGCAGGAGGGCGGGACGGTGAGAAAGCAGGCCACCAGGTCTGGGACTCAAACCACGGGTGGCCGTGTGGGAGTCCAGTGCCTTTAACCGCCATGCCACCTGCCAGCCCCTACTTATTTTTTATGTTGCTTGTCTCTTCCCAAGAGAATGCAAGTTCCTTGAGAGCAGGGCATTTTATCTTTGTTTTTACCACCTGGATTGATGTCTGGCAAGTCACGGGTGCTCAGTAGAGTGGTTGTTAGATGAATGAATCGCTCATCACTTTAGAGGGTACCTAAGCGTGGGAGTGGCTGTCTACCAACCTGGGCTGGGGAAGGTTATGGTTTTCCCGCGGCCCTGGAAGGGCGTTGGTTAGCTCAGCATGACTTCATTAGCGAGGCTGTGGGGAACTTGGAGGAACCCTGGCCCCTGGTCTTCCTGTGAGGGGCAGGCCAGCTCGGGGGGAAGCACCCACGTGCTGATCCTGATCCAGCTGGAGAGCCAACAGCATGCCCTCATGCGTCAGCCAGGGGTCAGGGCCGCTGACTCCCTGGCAGCCTCTCCATTCGTTCCAGGCCTCACAGTGCAAGTGCATCCGAGGCCAAGGTGGGCTTCACTGGAGGCTCACACTCAGCCAGGCCTTTCCAAGGGAGGGAGGGCTCCTGACCTGGAACCAACTCAGACCAAGGTAGGGGAATCCAGTGGGCACTGGAGAGTGAGGGCAGATTGGCTGCCAGAGGGCATGGAGAGGGCACTGTGGGCTCAGGAACAGCACAGCCAGAGCTCAGCGTGCAGGAGTACTGGGCGTGCTGGGAAGGGCAGGTCAGGGTGCGGCCATGGGGTGTCTGTTCTACTGCGTGAGAACTTCCTGCAGCCAGGAACGGGCTGATCCATCTTTGCCAGGGCCCTCCAGGTGCCATCAGGGTCCATGGGGTGGCCTATGTAGTTCAGGCCCAGGAGTCTAATCACCCCAGAGCCGAGAAGAAATGTGACCGTGCAGGCGAGACCAAGAAGCAGGGCTCAGAGAAGCCGGGGCATTGGTTGAGGATGGCGGGGGAGATGGTCTTTTCACCTTTACTTTGAAAATAGTTTTTCCAAGGGCCAGTAGGTGGGATGTGGTTAAGGTGCTAGACTCCCACTTGGGCGACGGTGGTTTGAGTCATGGATCTGGTGACTTGCTTTCTCACTCTCTTTGCCCGGTCAAATTTAATAATAATAATCATAATAATAAAATAAATAATTCTTAAAAAAAGGTAGTTTTTTCAAAGGTGGGCATGGGGTTAGGGGGCACACCCACCAGGATGGTCACCCAAAGCCAGGCAGGTTTGCTGCTGAACATGTCTTCGTCTGCGTTCCAGACAGGTTTTTTTTTTTTTTTCTTTTTTTCTTTTTTCAATGTCATGGACTTCTTTAGCAGTCTGGTAAAACCTGTAGACCTTTCTTAATAGTATTGTCAAATGGGTCAAGTAAGATGCATAGGATTACAAATTCATTCTACTGAAATACAGTTCTAACTGTGGGCCCCCATTAAAATGGTTAGCTACGCTCTTTATTTACTTATTTTTAATCGTCGCATGTGAGGGCATATGTGCTTGGTGGGGGGTGGAGAGGGGAGAGGGAGAACGGGAAAGCGACTCCCAATGGGTGTGGCCACCCTACAATCCGGTCTCTTCCATTTCCCCATCCTGTCAGGATTTTGGACATGCACACACATGTATCTGGTGGTGGTTCAAGCTGCTGGGGCTGGGATTTGAACCACAGCCATGTGGGATTTTGCTCCCTTAACCACTGTGCTTGGGGCCAGCCCTAGTTCTGCTCTTTTTGAGGACAAGCACCCCATTCTGAAAACAGCCCCAACTCCGGCTTCTCTTCCTGCACATTGGCAGGTGGGGCTGGGTTGAGCGGGAAGGTGTTTGCATATTTTCACATGGCTGCTCTGGGGTCACGCGGGCTGCCGTGTGCTGAGGTGTCTGGGAGGCAGAGACAGCTCGGCGGAACTCTTGGATCAAGTCACAGGGAGGCAGATGGTCTGTCCGCCCGGGGCAAGAAGTGATCTCCCCATCTCTGGAGATGGAGAGCTGGAGGCCCATCTGTCAGGGACTCTGGGCTCAGGGTGGGCTGGGTGACTTTTGTCCAGGTGGGAGAGCATTTCGAGGACTTCTGAGCCCCTTTGGGAAGCAGATGTAGGAGGTGCCTCGGGCTGTGGGCTCTTTCTCCTTTGCCAAGCTCTGAGCCACCTAAGCAACCCTGGGGATGACAGAGTGGACACTTCCTGCTGGCTCTGCCTCCGGGCCTGCCAGCCATTTTCACAGTGCCACCTGGATTTTGCCTCAGAACCAGCAATAGGTCTTGGACTTTTGAAGACAATGGGACTCAGGGTGGGGAAACACCTTGCCATTCTGTTCTATGCCCTAAAACCCAGGGAGGTGTCAGAAACTATGCCTCCCACTCCTCGCCCCAGCTATCTAGAGTTTCCGCTGTGAGCCTTGAAGGGTGTTGTTCCTACCTCCAGGGCATTGTCACCCCTCCCTGCAGCTTCAAGGCTCTCAACATTGTCCAAGACAGCCTCGACACCGTCTGGTCCAGACTCCTGTGTGGGAGTGTGCAAGGGGTAGTGGAGTCCCAGCGAGCCCGTGCCCGCCTCCTCCTGCCGCTGAGCGGAGGCGTCCCGAGCAGGAGACTGCAGCAGGAAGGCAGTCGTGGGTCCCCTTTGACAAACACATCATGCTTCCCACCTAAACCACCTCTGTGGGTGGGGAGCTGGGGACCGGTCTATTAGCTTTCTCCCGCTGTCCCCCGAGGGTGCATTTGTCTGTTTTGCATTTTTTCCAGGCTGTAGTTAGACAACTCCTAGTCCTGGGGGGAGGGCTGCAAAGAGAAAATGTCAGGGCGACACGCCGCCAAGATAACATTAGCGAAATATCAAGTCCTTTATGATGTCAGGAGGGATTCCTTCCTGCCGCCAGTGCTGCCTAATGACATCATAAAATGGGCCTGCAGCAGCCACAGCCCCCCGAGTCATCAATCAGGCCCATCTGTGGAGGGCCCCTGCATGCCGGGCGGGGGTGCACGTTAAAATCAAAGGAGGCCCCGACGTGGCAGCACTGTGGTGAGTGGAGGGGCAGAAGACACTCACAGCCTCCCAGGAAAGGTCAGTCTCCTGGGGGCAGTGCCCTCCATGGCCAACCTGGGTGCCAGGGGGCGGGCACAGCTCCTGAGGCCCCACCAGAGATGGAGAGGCTGTCGGTCTGCTCTGGGCAGTAACGGCCTCAGGTGGCCTGTGTCCAGGCTGAGTGAGAGGGGGGACCTAAGTGCGCCTTAGCCCTGTTTCCTCAGGGTGACTTTTCTCTGCAGGGATGCTGATGGGACTGCTGGAGCCAGGGCCCAGTCATCCAGTGCAGTGTGACCGAGAGTCTCCTACTAGAGACAGGTGGGGGAGGTCTTGGACTCTGGACGCTGGTGTGTGCTCTTGCATGTTTTGTGGGTTTGCGTGTGTGCGTCTGTCTCTGTACAAACTGGTACAATCATGCAGCATGGACACAGATGGATCAGCCCATGGGCGTGCTTGCCTGCACACCTAGTGCCTGCCAGCCTGCACACGCGTGTGTCTGAATCTGCCCGCCTGCATTCCTGTGTGCCCACGCGCGTGTGCTCATGCGTGTCAGTGTTTGCAGATGAGAGCAAAGAGGTGTGGAAGGGGATTAGGAGGACTGAAGAAAGAAGGGGATCCCAAAGGGTGGGCAGGTCCGGGGGGTGTATGCCAGCCAAGCAAGTCCCCCCATTGCCCCAGGCTAAGGAGGTGGCAGAATATTAGAATCCCCTGGAGAGACGGGAAGAACTACCCATGCCCCAACCTCACCTCAGATCAATGAAGTTCCGCTCTCTGGAGCAGGGGCCCAGGTACTGGTATTTTAAAAGGGCCCCAGATGCCTCTAAAGAGCAGCCGGGAGTGCACGGAGCTCTCCCGTGTGATCTGCACATTTCCTGAAGTCTGAGAGGCGAGTCGCGGTGCTTCTTCTCGAGTCGAGCCTGCAGTGGGATGTGTTTTAACGAACCCCCTGGGTGGCTCTGCTGCAGTTTCTGATGGGTGGGACTGGGGTGCTGCCCTAAGAATGTGCTTTTCTAACACATCTCAGTTGGTGCGCTGCTGATCTGGGAACCACACTTTGAGAACCACAGCAGGGCTGAGTGTGAAGGGGACAGACAGGGAGAGAAGGGAGGGGAGAGGTGTGTGCGCGCCGGCATGAAGGTGGGACAGACGAGAAGAGGACGATTCAGTCAATTAGGAAGACCATGTTCTTCCCAGAGTCTTGGGGTCTCAGTCTCCCTGACTCAGGGCCAGGCCAGAGTGACAACGAGAAACACAGCAGTCTCCTGAGAGTTATGGGTATTTGTCCTCCGCTTCCGATCCCCAGGAGGCCTCCCTCTTCTTCACTCTGTTAAGAAAAAGGATCCAAGACTGAGCACTTCTCTGCTTCCCGAGCCAACAAACCAAGCTTCCCCAGGACCTGACCTCATGAAAATGCCCACATACCTTTTTGGGGGTCTAGCATTGGTGGGGCTCGGCAATTAGGGTGGCCATGTATCTGGTTTGCTGGGGCAATCCCATTTACGATGACCATCCTATCAGTCTTCAGAGTTTACATGATAAACAATATGGTTCCCTACAGATAATGAACCTCCAGGATGATTAAAATTGGTTGAGGCAGGAGTGAGGAGGCCAAGAAGGCAGAGTGGGAGAGGTGGCTGAGTTCTCCAGGGGAAGCCCTCTGATCCTGCCCCCTAGGCTCTCTCCCCTTCACCTGGCTTCCGGGATAAGGGATTTGAGGTACAGCGTTCAGCCTGGTGGAGGTGATGTCTTCGAGCAAGTGTGTCTCCCACAGCCCCGTCTGTTTGTCCATGTGGTGGGGAGGCAGGGGGTGGGTGGGGTGGTGGTGGGAGCAGTAGACAGGCAGTCTGGGGCCCGGCCCCGCCGCAGCCCGGGGCCAGACTGCAGTATCAGCACCTCTCTGGCCTGCATCTCCGCTGGAGGAACCTGAGGGCCGGGGGAGGAGATAGCGATCAGCGGAATACCAGAGGTGTGAGGCAGGCATGACCTCACCCAGGGTGTGCCTGCTCTCTGGGTCCTGCCAGGCCACCCTTCCCGCCCCGCTCCTGGCACCCGCAGGCCGTGTTAGACAACAAGCTTCAGCCAGCCACGGCAGGGGTGTCCCAACGTGCTGGCTGGGGCCCAGCCAGGCTCAGGCAGGGACTGGGTACCTCTTCTGGAAGCCGCCAGTAGCAAACCTTGGGGTCCCATCCCTGGGTCCTGGGGCAGTAGGGAGGGAGGCAGGGACTGGGGGTGGGAGAGCAGTTTAGACTGTGCCAGACCTGTGGTCTAGAGAGAATGGAAGGGAGGAGGTACTCAAGTGGCTGAGGGGCTTGGAGGCCTCTTGGCTTGGGAGGAGGAACTGGGGAGAAGTGGGTCTGCAGGGCAGGCTGCAGTCTACTGTGTCCGCCAGCACACCAGCAAGCACCAGCTGGGAATCAGAGCCAGAAAGGTGGGAGAGACTTCCCAAGCCAAATACGTCGAAACGCCCCTTGGTGGGCCCAGCCTGGTGGCAAATCAGTAGCAAACCAAACCACGGAGCTGAGAGCCACGTAGCTGACCTGTGCAACACACTGCGTGTGTGTGCATAGACCAAGATCCCCAAGAGCTGGAGGTCTGGGGAAAGGGGATCACGGCGTGATGGGACCCTCCAGGGCGCTTCTCTTGGTCTCCTGCCTGTGCACACACTCTCAAGAATACAAATAAACTTGAAAACGCAACCCAAAAAAACCCCACCTTATGGTAACTTGAGATTCCACTGATTCCAGATATTTACCTTGCGGTAAGAGGACTTGTCAAAGTCAGGCAGTGGACTATGGGCTTGGGGGGGGGGGTTCTGGAAATTCAGGGGCAAGGCCTCTGGGAGACCCCCCCCACCCCCCCTGCAACTGCCTCTGGTCTGTGATTGGCCAGAGCGGAAAGTGTGCTCGCAGCAGCTATGGCTGTGGTCCTGGGCCTCCAGGAAGGGGCTGCCCTTGGGTCCCTCCCCCTGCCCCTGCTGTCCCAGTTTACAGCTGGCACACACTCAGACCCTTCCCACGTGCTCACCTGCCTGGTCCCCCTTGGTCTACAACCGCACCCGCTCCATTCCCACACGTTTGCACCCACCACCTCCGCAGCCCTCCCACCGTGCTCACAGAGACACGCGGCCTCACCCAGCTCTCCGCACACAGGGCACCCGAGACACCTTTGCATGAGAACCTGTGGGCGTGGCCTTCTCTGACCCTGCTCCTTGTCTGTGGGGTCAAAGTCCTCCCGCCACCATGGAAATGGGCAGATAGCATTTACCCCAGGGCTGAAGATCGCTGCTCTGCTCTCCAGAGCGCCTCCTGGTGGCAGCCTTTCCTGGTCTGGTGGCTCTGAGGGGGCTGCCAGAGCCCCTTTACCCACAGATGCCCCTCTGGGGACACTGGCTGTGTCTCTGCATATCGTCTGAGCCATTCATTCAGTTCAGCAAATGTTCCCTGGGCTTTTTTTGTGCCTGGTCCAGAGATGAGAGTAACTCACCACTTTCAAAGAACACCTGGTGGCTGGGCTGCCTTGAAGACCTCAGGCTGGCTGCCACTTGGTCCTGGGGTTACGCCCTGGACCCTCCCCACTTGCTTGCTTCCACTGCTGTCTACACCCGCATACGTTTTCCTCTGCCCTGTGACAGCGTCCCTCCTCCTTGTCATTCTCTCTCACCCCCTCAGTTTTCTTCCTCACTCTGGCTTCCGAGGGATGGCAGTGCCTGCTGGTGTCCTGCTGGCCCTGGGGCAGTGTCAGAAGCACCATGGCGTCGCTGACCCCTCTGTGGCAGCTCAAGGACCTGCATTTCCTTCTCTGGCACCAGGAGACGCAGACCAGGAGGAACCCATGTGGGTGGGGGAGGCTGTTCCTGCTGTTT